TTAGTCTCTAAGGTGCCACAAGTACTCCTGTTCTTTTTGCAGATACAGACTAACACGGCTGCTACTCTGAAACTTACAATTAGAAAAGTACCTTTTAATAAAATAACTTTCTGTTTAGAATAAAAATGGGAAACTAGATACTGAAACGCTATTTCAAAGAGCATCCGATTGGACATTTGAGAATCAGGTGTTTAGATGGTACTCTAGAGATGAGACTGATATAAGTGCTTAGAAAGTAGGATACATTGTCTTTTAAGAGCAGCTGTTAACTGGAACAAACAGATAAATTAAACAGTAATAAGTCACCAGGACCAGATGGTATTCACTCCAGAGTTTTTAAGGAACTCAAATATGAAATTGCAGAACTACTAACTGTGGTATGTAACCTATTGCTTAAATCAGCCTCTGTACCATATGACTGGTGGATAGCTAATGCAATGCTGAGTTTTTAAAAAAGCTACAGAGGTGATCCTGGCAATTACAGGGCAGTAAGCCTAACTCAGTACCAGGCAAACTGGTTGAAAATAGTAAACAACAGAATTATCAGACTAATAGATGAATGTGATATGCTGGGCAAGAGACAATATGGCTTCTGTAAAGGGAAATCATGTCTCACCAATCTACTGTATTAGCATTCATTGAAGGGGTCAACAAATGTGGACAAGAGTGATCTAGTGCCCATGTTGTATGAGGACTTGCAAAAAGCCTTAGACAAGGTCCCTCCCGAAAGGCTCTTAACCAAAGTAAGCTGTCATGGGATAAGCGGGAAGGTCCTCTCCTGGATCAGTAATTGGTTAAAAGACAGGATACAAAGGGTTGGAATAAATAGTGAGTTTTCAGAATAGAGAGAGGTAAATAGCTGGGTTCCCCAGGGATCTGTACTGGACTAGTGCTGTTCAACTTAATCATAAGTGAGCTGGAAAAAGGGGCAAAACAGGGAGGTGGCAAAGTTTGCAGATGATACAAAATATTTGACTGCAAAAGTTATAAAGCTGAGTTACAAAGGGATCTCACAAAATTCAGTGATTGGGCAACAAAATGGCAGATGAAATTTAGTGTTTAATTATTATAATTATTATTATATATTTTTATTATTAGTGTTGATAAATGCAAAGTAATGCACATTGGAAAACATAACCCCAATTATATATACAAAATGATGGGGTCTAAATTAGCTGTTACCACTCAAGAAAGAGATCTTGGAATCATTGTGAATAGTTCTCTGAAAACATCCACTCAATGTCCAGCAGCAGTCAAAAAAAACCGAACAGAATGATAGGAACCACTAGGAAAGGGATAGATAATGAGAAAGTAAATATCATAATGATGCTATATAAATCCTTGATATGCCCACACCTTGAATACTGTGTGAAGTTCTGGTAGCCCCATCTCAAAAAAAGAGATATTAGAACTGGAAAAAGTACAGAGAAGGGCAAAAAAAACAAAAAAACAATCTGATTAAGGGTATGGAACAGCTTCCATATGAGAAGAGAATAAAAAGACTTTGACTGTTCAATTTAGAAAAGAAATGACTAAGGGGATATATGATAGAGGTATATAAAATCATGAATGTTGTGGAGAAAGTGAATAAGGAAGTGTTAGTTACCCCTTCACATAAAACAAGAACCAGAGGTCACTCAATTAAATGAATAATTAGCAGGTTTAATACAATCATAAGGAAATACTTCTTCACATAACATACAGTCAACCTATGGAACTCGTTGCCAGGGGATATTGTGAAGACCAAAATATAACTGGGTTCTAGAAAAAATTACATAAATTCATGGAGGATAGGTCCATCAATGGCTACTCGCCAAGACAGTCAGGGATGCAGCCTCATGCTCTGAGTGTCCCTAAACCTCTGACTGCCAGAAACTGGGACTGGAGGACAGGCGATGGATCAGATGATAAATTGCCCTGTTCTATTCATTCCCTCTGAAGAATCTGGCATGGGCCATTGTCGGAAGACTGGTTATTGGGCTTGAGGGACCATTTGTCTGACCCAGTATGGCTATTCTTAAGTTCTTGTCAAGACCAGTATAAAATTGCAGAAAAGCTAAGTAGTCAATGACCAAACCTATATTAGTTGCTATGCATGATTCAGATAAAATGCAAAACTGGGTCCATAGCAGAGATTTAACAAAGTGAGGGATGAGTTGTTAAGTTATAGATAGCACAACCCAAAAGCTGTTGTAGAAATAGAAGAAATCATCGCTGAGTTGAAATAGATCATGAGAAGTGTCAAGAAAGCTGGGAATCAAAATGTTATCTATTGTTTAGAAGAGAAGCAGTTGAGATAGTTTCCTCATTATTGATAACGTTAATATAGTAACAAGATCACTTATTTACAGCACTCTACGCAGGAGTGACCACACATACTATGGTATTTCTGCCTACCTCTATCTATATAAGTCCCTTTGTCTTAGAAAGAACAGGAGTACTTGTGGCACCTTAGAGACTAACAAATTTATTAGAGCATAAGCTTTCGTGGGCTACAATGCACTTCTTCAGATGCATATAGAGTGAAACATATATTGTGGAGATATATATACACACATACAGAGAGCATGAATTGTCTTACAACTCC